TKSMMCYCYTCTKCCTTCCCACCAYCCCAGGGTGCTCCMAGCCCCATCCAGCCCGGCCTGGAACTTTCCAGTCTCAGCTTCTCTGGGCACCCTGTGCCAGGGCCTCCCCACCCTCACAGCCAGGAATTATTTCCCAATATCCTGTCTAAACCTACTCTCTGTCAGTCTGAAGCCATTCCCCCTTGTCTGGCACTCCAGAGCTTTGGAAAAGTCTCTCTCCACATTTCCTGTGGCTCCTTTCAGGTACTGTAAGGTCACAATTAAGTCACCCTAAAGGTTCTCTTCCCCAGATTGAACAATCCCAGTTCTCAGCCTTTCCTCCCATCCCTCTGCTCCATCCTGGAGCTTCCTCTGCTCTCACTCCAACAGCTCCAGGTCCTTYSKGTGCTGGAAGGACCCCAGAGCAGGACACAGCACAGCAGAGAGGTCTCACAACCAGGGAGAAAATATTCTGAGTCTGAGCTGCCAGGACCCGACCCCAGGCAGCTTTCTGGGGCAGTTTGGGCTGTCCCAGCAAATCCGCTGACTCCGTGGGTTGAAACGAACTTCAAATGACAGCCAGCCCGGTGCTCTGCTCGGTTTGGAGACACAACAAACCCGGCGGCTGCTGCAGGAAGCGGTGTCTCTCACCTTGAGACCACGCGGGAGCAATGAGCGTGGGAGACGGAGAGGATGAGGGGTGCGGGACCCCTGCGCTCCTTCCTGCAGCCTGCCGACTCATCCCGGCCCGCGGGGCTTCCTGGAAAGGTGACTCAGCATTCCTTACTCATTCGGGTCACCCGCCGCCTCCTCACTGCGGGTTCAGGGTGTTCTCAGACGGGGATGGGGAGCAGGAGCATCCCTCCTCCCCTGGGACCCGCTGGGTACCACCCTGGGGCCACACGCGGCATTCCAAGGGCTGTCCCAAGCTCTGGTGTATTTTGTGAAGGATTTTGTGGCTGCAGAGGAGGGGTGGCAGCCAYGGGCAGCCGGGGACAGGAGGGAAAGCGTGGCCCCGAGGAGGCGGCTCGGTTTGAGGCGCTGCCAAAGCGCAGCCCCACGGGGGAGCCGGGCGATGGGAAAGGGGAAGCTGCCTCTGGATAAGGCGCTATCTGCTGCCCCCGGGCCCATGGGATCCCGGCCACGGCCGCTTTCCCAGCCCCGCTGCCCCAAAMACGCTCACAGGGCTCTGCCCACGTGTCCCCACCCAGGGGTTCCGCTTCCTARTGACCGCAGCGGCCAAAGCCGGGCTTTTTTGGGACACGGGAAGGGCTGCCCATCGTGTGTGGGTTCATTGTCAGGGGATGAACTGTCCCTCAGRGYSTKGAGGCTCCTGGGATGATCACAAGCRTCCAGACATTACTCCTYTGTCCTAAACCCCATCAGCCTGTGGTTATTCCCTTTTCCCCTGGGAAAAGCAAGGGAGCACAAAGGGAAGGTAGAGTCTGTTTAACACCCAGAGCACAAAATCAGCACTGGCTGCACTCCCAGCCTTTTTRGGGTCAGTTTTGATGGGACCAAAGTGACCTCGTGCAGTGTGGGGCTCACACACAGGGGCAGGGGCCTGAGGTGCCCCAGAACCCACGATGATCCCAGTGTAAAAGCACCTGGATAGGTGACAAGTGGCCCTTTGGAGGGGACAGAGTCAGGGCACTCGCTCTCTCTGTGCCCGCACTTGGCTGTTTTGATCCTGGATTTCTGCTGGAAGCCTCGTGCCTGGATGGGGCAAGGGATGTGGGCACATCCCTTGGGACGGCACGTGCTGCGGCCGCTGTGCCAGATCCCTGTTCCCAGAAATGTCCCCTCTCCGTGCCTGCACCTCGGGGTGGAGGAGGAGGAGGAGCAGGAGCTGTGTCCAACAGTGAGGTGGGTGCAGCCTTCTGCACCTCCAGCTCCATCTGCAAAAATCTGGGATAACCCATCCCACCCAGAACAGACTCAGGGCACTGCCCAGGGCAGCTCCTCCAGCTCCATCTGCAAAAATCTGGGATAACTCACCCCACCCAGAACGGACTCCGAGCACTGCCCCAGGGCAGCTGCTCCAGCTCCATCCGAGAAATCCGGGATAACTCATCCCACCCAGCATGGAAACCCACTGCCTCCAGCCCAGGGCAGCACCTCCAGCCCGTCTGCAGAAGTGTAATTGATGGCTTTGCCATCCTCCTGCCACTCCATCCTTCTGTCACTCCATCCTCTTGTCACCCATTCCTCTGCCATTCCATCCTCCTGCCATTTCACCCTCCTGTCACTCCATCCTTGTCACCTCATCCTCCTGTCACTCCATCCTCCTGACACCTCATCCTCCTGTCACTTCATCTTCCTCTCACTCCATCCTTCTCTCACTCCATCCTTGTCACCTCTTCCTCCTGCCACTCCATCCTGCTGTCACTCCATCCTTGTCACTCCATCCTCCTGTCACCCCATCCTCCTGTCACCCATTCCCCTGCCACCCCATCCTCCGGCCATCCCATCCTCCTCTATTGCCATCCCATTGTCCTCCTGGCACTGGGGATACAGGGATTGATTCCCCCAGCTCCCCAAGAGATGTGCAAATTGCCAAGTTTGCGGCCGTGCTGGGATCTCCCAAACTTCGGAAAGAGCAAAGCTTTGACCTCAACCTTGAAGTTTTTGGGTAGCAGAGCTGGGAGGAGCCTCACAAAGGCAGGGAGAGAAAGGTGTGAGCCCATGACACTCACCGTGAAGGGCAGGGAGCAGATGATGAASGTGATGGTCATGATGGAGAGCAGCAGGAGGTGGTCGATCTCCTCGGCCATGGAGAAGATGCGCCGGCCGCAGCCCGTGGCCRCTCGGGGCTGCTCCAGCGTGGTCACCCGGCGTGTCCTCTGCCCCCGGCGGTGCATGCGGGCCAGGTTCACGATGACGCTCAGGTTGCAGAGCAGCACGGCCAGGATGAGGAAGAGGAGCAGGGTGGCGTAGAGCAGCGAGAAGGTGACGGTCCGCCCGGCCGCCTCCCGGCTCTGCTCGTCGGGGTGCAGGTGCATCTCGATGAAACACCAGGTACCGGGGCAGTACTGCACGAAACTCCCGAAGCCCAGCAGGGGCAGGGAGCAGAAGGCGGCCGAGAAAGTGTAGGTGGCCGGCAGAGCCACCAAGCCCGTGCGGGGGCTCAGGAAACGCTCGTAGAAGTAGGGCCGGCCCAGGGCCAGGCATCGCTCCAGCGCCATGGTGAAGAGGATGAGCATGGTGGCGAGGCCGAAGAAGCTCATGGCGAAGCCGAAGTAGGAGCAGATGTAGCCTCCTTGCGCCAGCGCGTTGAGGGTGCGGTTTTGGTGGTAGGAGGCGAGCACCAAGGGGCTGACGGAGCAGGTGCCCAGCAGGTCGGTGACCACCAGGGCCAGCACCAGGACGTGGAACAGCGCGGGCGGGCGCTGCCGGGGCCCGCGRCGGCCGCGGAGGAGCAGCCCCAGCGCCAGGAGGTTGCCCAGGAGCCCGGCCGAGAACATGAAGGCGCTGACCAGCGGCCGAGCCCCGGCCGGCAGCTCTGCCTCGTCGTGTCCGCACGCTCGGCCCGTCCCGTTCATCCCGCGCCGCCGCCGCCGCACTCCCGACTGCGCTGCCGCCCCCGGCACCGGCACCGCCCGCCCCGACGGCACCGCCC